CAACTATACTTAATACTCTTCACCATTTACATTGATTTTGAGGTTATGTTCCTGTTTTGTTTATTTTTTCTTCTGAGGCAAGATGTCTATTCAGGTCCTCTGCTCATTTTATAAATGGATTGTTTGTATTTTAATATTGGTTGTATACATTCTTTTAAAAAATTTCAATTACAGTTGACATACAATGTTATATTGCTTTCAGGTGTACAACATAATGATTAGACATTGATAGAATTTATGAGGTGATCACCCCAATAGGTCTAGTACCCATTGACACCATACATAGTTACTGCAATGTCATTGGCTATATTCCCTATGCTGTACTTTGCATCCCCATGACTGTTTTTATAACTGGAAATGTGTACTTCTTAATCCCTTCACCGTTTCCACCCATCTCCCAATCCCCTCCCATCTGGTGACCACCAATTTGTTCTCTGTATCTATGAGTGTGTTTCTGGTTTGTCTGTTTGAGATCCCATATATAAGCGAAATCACATGGTACTGCCTTTCTCTGTCTGAATTGTTTTACTTAGCATGATACCCTGTAAGTCCATCCATGTTGTTGCAAATGACAAGATTTCATTCCTTTAATGGCTGAGTAAAATTCCATAACATATGTACCACCTCTTCTTTTTTTTTTTTTACCACCTCTTCTTTATCCATTCACCTGTCAGTGGACACTTGGGTTGTTTCTATGTCTTGGCTATTGTAAATAATGCTGCAGTGAACATAGAGGTGTATATATCTTTTTGAATTAGTGTTTTAGATTTCTTTGGATAAATACCAAGAAGTGGACTTTCTGGGTCGTATGTTCTAGTTCTAATTTTACGAGCCTTCATACTGTTTTCCATTGTGGCTGCACTAATTTACAATCCTACCAACAGTGCATCAGGGTTCCCTTTCTCCACATCTTCACCACCACTTGTTTGCTGATTTATTGATAGCCATTTGATGGGTAGGGCATGGTGGTTTTCATTTGCATTTCTCTGATTAGTGACATTGAGCATCTTTTCACATGTCTACTGGCCATCTGTCTGTATTTTTTGGAGAAATGTCTGTTCAAGTCCTCTGACCATTTCTTAATTGGATTACTTTTTTTGGTGTTAAGTTGTATGACTTTCTTATATATTTTGGATATTAACCCCTTATCAGGTGAAATCATTGGCAAATATCTTCTCCCATTCAGTAGGCTTTTTTGGTTGGTGGTTCCTTTCACTGTGCAAAACTTATTTAGTGTAGCCCCATTGATTTATTTTTTTCTTTTGTTGCCCTTGCCGGGGGAGACATATAAAAAAATATTGCTAACAGCAATGTCAGAGAGTTTACTGCCTGTGTTTTCTTTGAGGAGTTTTATAATTTCAGGCCTTACATTTAAGTTTTTAATCCATTTTGAGTTTATTCTTATATGTGGTGTAAGAAAGCAATCCAGTTTTACTATTTGGCATGTATCTAATCTAATGGTCTTTGTATCTCCTTTCATTGTTTTTTTTGTTATTTTTCTTTTTATGATTTTCTGAATTATAAAGACCATGTCTTGCATCTTATTTGGGATGTTGAAGTACTCTAAAAATTTACTGAATTCTTATAGTACTATGTTTTCAAAATATGGTCTTTCTTTGCATCTGCAGGATAATTGACTAATTCATTCAACAATTACTTGAGCACTCAACATGACACTCACAGTTGTGATTGGTTTGGGATGTGTCAGAACAAAAGAGACAAAAATCTCATTAAATTTACATCTGAATGAGAGAAAGACAATAAGCTAGGTACTGTGGACTGTTAGGAGTGTTAAATGTTCTGGAAAAACAGAGTGGTAAGGTAATTGGATTGTGTACTCGGGGGAGACTTCATTAAGAAGGTGAAATTTGATCAGACTGGAAGAATGCATGGGAATTGTGCAGCTACCCCAAGAAAGAGCTTAGCAGATGGGGACCCAGCAGGTGCAAGGCCCTTAAGGCAGGAGCATGCCTGGTGTGCTTGATGAACTGTGAGGAGCCTAGTGAGGCGACAGCACACAGGCAAAGCGGTCACGAGCGTCACTTGGGGATACATCATGAAAGAACTTGCAGGCCAACAAAAGGGTTTTGCCTTTTACTCTAAAGATGGAAAGTCACTGGAGAGTTTTGAGCAAAAGCATGATCTGATTACTATGAAAAGAATCATTTCCTCAATTCTGCCGTGGAGGCTATGGGGAGAGGGAGGGATGAAGGTAGATGCACTGAGACCAGTCAGAAACTATTCCAGGTGAGAGATGATGGTAGCTAAGGACCAGGTAGTCCCAGACCAGGAGGTAGAGAACTGGTCAGAGACTCTAGATCAGCGGTTCTCAACCTGTGGGTCGCGACCCCTTTGGCTGTTGAATGACCCTTTCACAGGGGTTGCCTAAGACCATCCTGCATATGATATTTACACTACGATTCATAACAGTAGCAACATATGAAGTAGCAATGAAAATAATTTTATGGTTGGGTCACAACATGAGGAACTGTATTTAAAGGGCCAGAAGGTTGAGAACCACTGCTCTAGAGATTTTTGAAGGTAGAACCAGAAGGATTTCCTGATGAACTAGATATAGGTTGTGAGAGAAGTTAAGGAGTCGGTTCCTGGCCTGAGCAATTGGAAGGATTCAGTTTCCATCAACCGAGATGGCACAGGATGCTTGTGGACTAGGTCTGGGGAAGCAGACTGGAATTTTGTTTTGGACGTGCTAGATTTGAAATGAATCATGTCAAAGAGAATATTGGATGTAAGTCCAAGGTCACAAGTCAAGTGGGAGTCAAACCTGAGATTTGTCAGCACCTAAATGCCATTTCAAATGGGAAGAGGAGGTCAGATTACCAAGAGAGAAGTGTGTGGAGAGTGGACAGAGAGCTCATAAGGACATTCGATCCCTTGTGAGTGTGCTACTGGGGCCCATGTGCATCTTTTTAGACATCCTTGGATGAGATCTAGTGGTAAGGTAATTGGATGGTGTACTCAGGGGAGACTTCATTGAGAAGGCGTGGCTCAATGGTTGAGCTTTGCCCAAGGAACCAGGAAGTCACAGTTTGATTCTTGGTCAGGGCACATACTCCAATTGTGGGCTTGACCACCAATAGGGGGCGTGCAGGAGGCAGCCAATCAATGATGTTTTTCCATCTCTCCCTCCCTCTCCCTTCCTCTCTGAAATCAGTAACAAACATATTTAAGGAGGTTCTTGTCTCCAAGGTTGACACAATCAAGTCTTAAAATGCCAGCCATTTTAAGGGCTCGAGGATTAATCAAGACCCAGAAAGATGAAATGATAAAATAAGCCAGGCCAGCACCAGTGCAAACTCCCACAGGGACACGTCTGCCACCAGGGTTCCTGGCAGGAATATATTTAAATGCAAAGAGAACTACTATATTAACAGTACAATATCGTCATATAAACAGTTCCTTTATTTTTTATGGTTAAAATAGTTTTATTTTTTATATTTCTTTAAAAGTAGCATACTTTATGAAAAGAAACACTGGAAATATGGATTCTTTTTGAGAAATAACCTTCATCTTCACTAATAGGTATGGAGGAACCAGAGTTCTACACCAATTAATGGAAAATTAACCACTGATAAGTCTAGTTCCAACCCCCCAAAAAGGACATACACATACGCTAGAACTGATTCAGTCCATTCAGTCAAAACATTTCCACTGCTGAACTATATCTGCTACTGAAACTGTAAGAATGTTCATTTTCCTGGGTGTCCTATTTTGTCAAAAGATTTCGTATTTATTACATTAACTGGCATTTACAAAGAGTGGAGAGACCAGCGACAACACTCCATAGTATGTATGACCTTTCTCTCTTTTTAAATGTTCTCAGTAAGCTGTAAAATTTAGCAATTACATTTAGGTTTTCATAACTTGCAGGTGTCTGAGTATCTCTTAATCTGCTTCGTCCCTTCAAAATTCTTTCCATTTTAAAAAGAACATTTTTGCTTCTTAGTGCTAATCCTGTAGAAATTTTTTTTAATGAGCAAATTTTTAAAAATATTTTTTTTATTGATTTCAGAGAGGAAGTGAGAGGGGGAGAGAGATAGAAACATCAATGATGAGAGCGAATCATCGATCGGCTGCCTCCTGCACGCCACCTACTGGGGATTGCGTCTGCAACTCCTGGCATGTGCCCTTGACCAGAATCGAACCAGGGACCCTTCAGTCGGCAGGCAGACGCTCTACCCACTGAGGAAAACCAGCTAGGGCTGTAGAATTTTTTAAAGGGTTGTATGTTTAATTATGAATTAAAATGCCCCCCCCCCCAAATAAAACCTATACAGGATCACTCTCCCCTATAAATACTGGACTTTTCTATGAACCCTATTTCAAATTGAGAGTGGCATTTACATGTCAAGATGTGCAGGCACAAGTTTGTGTAGAACCTGCAACTTCATTATGAAGCTTCCTCAACACAATAGAGGATTTAGTATTTTTACTCTGACCAGTTTAAACAACACAAGGAGGTCGGCACGTTTTAATAAACTTAACGTGTTTCATTGTTATGAAAACAGGCTGAGAGTGATGGTGACCCTAGCATTTGATCACCCAGGCTCCTGACTTTATGCTCATTACTGTTGGCTAGTTTGATAGTTGCTTGTTCAACATGCACCTCCCCGGGGATGATCAGGTGCTGCAAAAATAGCAAATTGTAGGCAGAAGACTTTGCTTCCATTAGCACTTCTGGTACAAGGGTTAGAGGGGCTTAAAGAGGAGATTTAGTAGTGATAATAAAATGAGGGAGTGCGTTCCCTGTGGATTTCACCTACTTTGTTAGGACTGGTCCCTCCTTACTGGAGGCTAACGAGGGAGACTAGACCATGACCTGTTGTGGTAGCTGGTGGACACTTTCAAAAACTACAGTTATGTTCTCCAATACTTTTATTATCTCCAGTTTTATGGCACCATATCACCATTATTTTCACACCGTTTAAAATTCCCATTTCCATAATTCAAATACCAAGAAATTACTACACATTCCCGTATACAGTCAAAAATAGATTTACTGGAATGTTTTTAGTTACAGCTGAAGGCAGCAGCATTTACAACACTTAGCTTTTGTTACACCCATAAACGTGGAAATTGCTTGCAAAGCAACTGTAATGTGAGAAGAATCTTCCGAATGTTGATGGAACAGCTACATAGGCTTCCTGACCCCCCACCTTAATGCAAGAGTCCAAGTCCTTAAGCCACTGAAGAAGCAGTCGGAAGTCTCGTATCAGTGTTGAACTACAGACACACATAGTGAATGAGCAAATATCTAGTTTCAAATCAGATCCTTGGAATGTGGCAAAACAGGCTGGCTGTCTTGGCCTTGAACATAATTATTAAAAGCACATTTTCATTTTGCTAGAAGGGGAAAAAGATAATGGACATTCTCAATGCTCCAGTTTGAAGTGATACTTGCCGCTCAGTTTCTTGGAAAAGAAGTTTTGAAAGTTATATACATGGGTTTCATTTAAATTATGCAGCAATCTTTTATTATTATTATTATTATTATTGTCCCAGATTTTGTTTAATGAAGATCTCTCTCATCAAATCAAGTGCGGTATTTCACAACTGTAAGTACTGCAAGAGAAAAACACGAAAAAGGAACACGTCAAAATCATATCCACATGCCATGTTAGACATAATATTCTTAAATGCAGCTGTGTCCACTTGGGAAGCAGGTAATGAGGACTGAATTTTGGGCTGAAAGGACAGATAACAAATGAGAATGGAGAAGCTAAAATAATCACAAAATCACCTGAATGTCTAACATTGGCATTTTGACTAAACAGATTATGGATGAACCTTAGCATACAGCTGCTAAAATATTTTAAAAATAAATAACATGAGAAAATATAACATATTAATAAGAAAGTCTGTATGTAATCTTAGTTTTTTAAAAATATGTTTATATGTTAGTATGAAAAGGCTTGAAATATATATGATAGTTATGTTAACAGTAGCTACCACTATGTGGAAAATCACAGTTGAATTGTATCTTTTTCATGCTATTCCACATTTTCTAGTTTTCCGAGGACAAGCAGGAAGTTCCGAGACGCCCTAAATTATGTCCCAGCAGGACAGCAGGGACAGAGGAGATGGTTAGTCGGTGGGTGGCTCAGACTTCATACCCAGGACCTGGTCTTTTCCTGGCTAGCACTTGCTATAACAAACCCTTTCAGCCATGGAAGTTTTTTTTAACATATCTTGTCAAGAGTGGAATTCGATCTTTCCAAGGAGCAGAAAAGGATGTGACTCTCCTGAGATGAGTGTGGTGCTCACACCTTGAGGCTGATGTGCATAGCTTTACTGGGCCTCAACAAAAATCCGTAAGAGGCTGTCTTAGAGATGTACCTCGTGGAAGGGGTTCCCTCATCTGACTGGTGAGTTATAAGGGACACCCTCAAGTCAGTTTTTTTATTATGATGTTATTCACCAATATGTCTTTGTTTTTTACTTTCATTTGGGGGTGGGAGGGGAACTGAGCTTATAGTGACATCTTGTGGCCATTTGATGCAATTACAGCTTGGGTTCTCATGGCGGACCAACGCCATTAGATTATTTCTCTGAAATTATAAAATGGTGATTTTCACTCCAAAAAAGAGAGACCATCGCTACTTCTGGTCCCTCAGGGGTGTTTCCAGGTGATGAGAAACCTTTGCAGAAATGTCTACTTATTGTCTGAGATATGCAGCTGTCTCACAGGGTCCCCAACAGAAAAACATACTCCCTGTTTTAGGGTTAGAAGCAACATTTCTGACTTATCTGGTACACACAAGGGCTTGGTCACCCAAGTACTCCAGCCCCCCTGAATACTGTGTAGTGCCCAGGCTCCTCTGAGTCATATAAGAGAGGAGCCACCAACCTAGGAGCAGCACTCACATTTCAGACCCAAAACAATTCCTTGGCCTTGGTTGATCAAGAACAAAATTTTTAAATTATGGGAAGTCAAAACCCCAGAACCTTCCCCAAACCCTCTGTAGGAACCTGGACCAGTGCTATGAGTATAACAAATACGGGGCTGAATCGTGCATGTTTTTATCTAAAAGGGACTCTGAAACATTTCAAAGGAAATTTCTCTTTACAAAAGGGGAAATTAAACTAATCAGGCCTATTTGCTATATTAAAATTACACGGGAAGCAGAAAGCACTGTCAAAAAAATACCTGTGGTATTTGTATGCATATATTATTAAAATGAATGTTTTTTGAAATTATATATAAAATTTCCAAGAATCTACAATGTCCTGATATTATCATTTGCAATTCTAGTTATCTTAAATGTGAGTTGCAGAGAAAAGCACATTTCTTTGTCAGTTGTGCTGTAATCAGATCTCTGACCATGTCATTTCAGTCTTTGTTATTCACACTGGTAACACTGCTAGTGATGCTGCTGCCTCCGTGAAGCACAACAAAGAGCCTGTCCCTCCAGGACAGGGGACCTGACTTCTGCTCCAGCCCTGCTGCCGGTTCAGACTTCATGCCCAGGGCCCAGTCCTTTCCTGGCTGGCACGTGGCTCAACAAACCCTTTCTTTGTTTGGCTGTGGCAGTTTCCTGTTTATCACCACCATAGTGTATGGTTGCATCTTGGTATCTGCAGTAGTTACGTTCTATAAAGTCTCCACCAACACTGAATTAGTGAACACTGACCCATCGCTCCTACAGGAAATACAGGGTTAAATTCCTGCAAGCCCCTGGGCACAACATTTTGTCAACTGATCAATACATAGACACCCTATGTAATATATGCTATTGAATTCATGGCTGATAGCAAGGTAACCGAGACCTAAGTGAAGCCTATCAAACGGTCCATTTTCTCCTTCCAGCACATCCCAGCCTGCCTGCACTCAGCAATACGGACAGTGCACTCGGGGCCATGCTAAACAGTGAGACCACCAACGAAGTGCACAACTGCGAGAAACATGGCGCTCACCAGAGGACCTTGTTTACACTGTGAGAGCAACACTAGAAGACACACGCATGTCAGCTGGGAATGTGCGCCTCAGGGACTCAAAGTTTTCACTGCTCTGAATACAATGACTGTAAACGCAGCTCAAGTACTGAGGTGGGTAACAAATCACTGTTTGCTAGCAGGTGAATTCACAAACCCAGAATCCACCCATATGAGTGAGGATCGACTCAATTTCTTTGCAACAAAACTCTTTTCTCTTTAAAAAGAGAATATTACCATGGAATTTTTCAAATGATTTTTTTGAGACACTTTCCAAATCTTCATAAAGTCCCTGCAAACACAGGGAAAGAGGCCTTGGAGAAAATGAGATATCAAAAATGATCTTACTTTAAAAGAATATTAAGGATATTAATGACTGAAATCAAGCTCAAATCCAAAAACAGAAACAAAAAAAAAAAACATTCATCTGAAGAGCTTATCTAGATTTGTCCTTCAAACAATACTAAGAAATGCAAGCTGCCATTCCTTCTGGTTGATAATAAGCAGAAGATGAGAGCTGTGGCCCTGGCGTAACAGTAGCCATATCTGGCCCCAAACAAAGCACTGAGCCCTGTGTTTGCATACCATTTAGGAGCATTTTCAGAGATCACAGGCTAAGAGCTCTCGACTGGGGTCAGAAATCATTACTCAATCCTGACAGTCAGACCACATCAACTGAAAACAAATTAAGAAGGGAATTAAAATGAACCCCAGAACAAATGATCCTCCCCAAAATGAACAATCCAGGAAATACTTACTGATGATCACCAACAAAAGGATGACAACAACCAACGCCATGATGGCTTTTATCTACAACACACAAAAAGCATAAGAAAGATATTAATATTAATCCTGACTTTTTTCGACTATCTGTTGTTATTTACCATATTATACTAACTCATCAGTGAACAGGCTAATCCCTTAAAAGGCTTTCAAAATAGAATTTTTCATATGAACTTGCTATTTGCATGTTTTTGTGACTAATCAGGGTTCCCCCAATTTAAGGGTTTTGCTTGCCCAGAATTTTCTGTTCAAGACTCACTGCCCAGTGGACAGTAATCAAAGTCTCCATGGACCTGGACTTCTTGTCTATGATTTCTTGCTCTCACTTCTAATATGAGACCAGGAAAAGTACGGCATTTTACCAACTCTGTTAAAAAGCTGAATCAGGATAGGACAAACAGCACCGGCATCCAACACAAATGATTTCATACACACAGTACAAGGCAGCATGTTTGTAGCCTTGCTCAAAGGATATGAGAATTCTGTTTTGGCTCCCCTTACTTTCTTCTTGGCACTTTTATCTCTGTTTGAGGAAGGGAATTTAGATTCTCCATGAATAACCTTATGTGATAAATAGTGTGGCTGAGAGCATTCTCTGTGTCAGTTTGACAGTTGTGGAGAAATCTTAAGGTTAGTCCTTAGTGAACTTACTAAAATTTTAAGCTCACATCATTTCTCTCACAAAACACCACGCGTGGCGCGCATGTACAGTGCGATTGAAACTTCTTGAAACTTCTTGGCCCATGCGCAGAAGTCGGTATTTTGTGGAAGAGCCACACTCAAGGGGCCAAAGAGCCGCATGTTGCTCGAGAGCCGCAGTTTGTCGACCACTGCTATAGGCTGCTCCACAACATGCTAATAATAAATTCTAAGAGAAACTAGTATTTCTTATAAGTTCAGGTAGCACATTATTAATAAAAT